GTAGTAAAAAAAAATTGAATTTCACCACTGTCCTGTAGCTACCCAGAATCTGCCCTCGTTGGTTCATACAACCCAGGGTCTGTTTGAGGTCTTGGGGCTGCCACAATCCACGTCAATGCAGTGTGATCCTTCCCCAACTCAGAATATAAACTGAGTTGGATTCCCAGGGAGAATTGTTGCGAACATCAGCAGCCCAGACAACCCCCATTGGTTTGGAGGAGGGGTCCCACCCACCCACATTTACTTTGCTCCAGCTCACCCCTCCTGCTCACAACTCTTCCTGCCAAGAGAAGGAGGGTCACCAGAGGCAGACAGCGTGACCCCCTTCTTTGCCAGAGGGTCACGGGGCTGCCAACTCGCTGGAAATGGTGACCCAGGGGGCACACAGAGATTCAGTGCATAAACATTGGGGGGGGGGAGGATTGGTTCTGCCCCAAGGGGAGGCTGGACGGGATGAATTGCACCGACTGCTGCCAGGTGACACAGCTACTTTAGCAAGCTTGAGAAGGGGACGGGATGGCCAAACTCAGCCCCCGCTGGAGGCCGGGGAGTGGGGTCTCCCCATGGGGCTGGGAGTCAACCAAGACTTACTTCAGCAGCCGCATGCCAGCCGTGGCGCCCAAGTAGAGGGGAGTGATGCCATGCCTCGCCTTCGGGACATCCTTCAGGGCCTGGTCAAGGCAGAGTACCAAACTCTCCCCGGCTGCCGGTGGTTTATCGAAGTAGCTTGAGATGCCGCCTCCTACAAAATCCATCCGCCATGAGTGCCAGGCCAGTGGGATCCGGAGAGAGCCTGCCCAGCATGCCCAATTGGGGGGGGGATTCTCGCCAGGCACGGAAGGGGAGAAGCTTATTTCAGCAGCTAAGAGGATTTGCTGAGTCAGACACACTCTGACTCATTCCAGGTTCTGTTTCCTGGCACTGCCTTCTCCTCCCCTCCAGATGTGCAGGGAATTCGGTCCCAAACATTTGGAAAAGGCCAGATAGGAAAGACTGCTCTGTTGCAAAGGCGTCAGCCCTTGCCAGCTGCCCAGACTAAGACCAGGGTGGCCCTGGGCCCAGGCCTTGGCATGACCTCCTCCTGGGACAGCTCCGGTTCCCACATGCCTTTGTAGAAGCCCCTGGCCCCCTGCCAGGCTACGCCTGGGCACACCCTCCTCCCAGAGGAACCCACAGGTCTTTCTTTCTAGATCCTTAAACCAGGCGAGCCGTGACAATTCTTGGTCCAATGCCCATGGGAGTAAAGAAACAGAACAAAAGAAACACGGATGCCGCCCGTTGTTCAAATTCACAAAATGCAGAATGGAAACCTCAGCTGGCAGCAAGGGTTGTGCCAGCTCTAAGCTGCCCTGAGCTTCACCTTCCCTGGGCACAGGGTCACACAGGCCCTCCGCTCCTCAACAGGTGTGCCCATACTGGGCTCTGCCAGACCTGGATGTGCCCCACGTTATGGCGCGCTAAGAAGGGGTTCTGGATTGGGGAGAGGAAGAGGATCCCTCTCTGGCCTCCCCCAGCGCTGGGGACGAAAGCCCCCCCCCCCCCGCTGCTTTCAGCAACATTTAGGGGAGGCAACTGCAAACTATGGTGGTCCGTGGACAGACTAATGGCCCCCTCCCACAAGCAACAAGGGGAGGGGGCAGGGGATGCAGAGCCCCCATTCTGCTTACCCTTCACGTGGCAGTCGCTGTGCTGGCTGACAATCCCAGTTTCGTTCTCCTTGTTGGACGGCCATTTGTAGACAAACATGGCCGTGTGGGAAGACCCCGCATCCAATACGATCCCATACTGAACAGGGGGAGGGGAGGAAACATCAGTCAGGTCCCCAGTTTTGGCTGAACCCACCCCAGGGGACACAAAGCAACGTCTCTCGCCCTGACCCAATCCCTCTGCAGGGCTATTGGAAGCTATTGGAAGCACGCCAAGTGAGCCCCCCATTTTCCCATGTTTAGGAACAGCCTCAAGATTAGCTTCAAGATTATGCCGTCCCACTGGAACGAGGCCCTGCGGCTCTTTTTATTTTATTTTATTTTATTTTA